AATAGTTCACTTTTAGTCCGACTTTTTATCATTTACTGAAGCTTCAAATCGGAATTTTAATTCAATAACACATTTCGATTGCATTGAAAAAAAACAATTTGACTGGTTCCTAATTGCTAAGGAATCACAACAAATCAATTTAAAGTTCTACCATCTCATCACCGAAAAGGGCTTGACTAAAAACATCGAAAAGACTCCACCCTTAAAACTGCGCTACAACAATATCATCACCTCCTAGACTATATATTGTAAAAACCGGTGAAACTCTCAGCTGATCACGGTCCACTCCCAGTCTACTCAGCCGAATAGCACCTTTGTGAGATGCCATGGCAACCTGACTTTGAGTTTACCGCTATCGGTACTAGTTACCAATAACGGTACTTGTATCCAAGAAATTCTTAAGTTCTAAAGATCAGATCGCTTCAGGGTTCAGGATATCATCGTGTACTAGGTAACCTAGAAACAGTCCACCCTAGTAACCTAGCAACCAATAATTTACGGGTAGGTTACACCTGGCACAAGTATGTTCCTCTGGTCTTGAATTAGTGGGTGTAGAGATAGACTGTGGAAAGAGACCTTCTGTGTAGTCAGTATGTCAGTATGTGGTGAACTAGGCTATCATTCAGTGTTTTCATACTAGTTTGATTGCGCGAATTAGCGAATTTTAATCATTAATTTGTTATTCTAATCTCAAAGGCACAGTTTACCTTTACTAGCAGGAACCCGTCTGACCCTAAAATGGTGTCAAGGCTCAAGAGACTAAAACAATTATTACCTATTTAATTCGCGTTTTTGACACCACTTGTGGTACCAAATTTTGGGCTCTAAAACTCCTATTTCTTGGCCTATTTTTTATTTTTTCATGCCGATTTGGAGGCCATTAAAGCATTTGACCCAGTCAAAAAAGTTTCAGTTGTATATCTTTGACGGTTTTTGCAGAAATTCGCGTTAAAGTTGATGCCGTGGTGTCAGTAAAATGGCACGGATAAATAAATATATATATATATATCGTCTCGCTTTATATATAGTAAGATTATCCATAGGAACTTTTATTGGGTGAGAGATCAGTTATATTTCTATATTTGTAAGTACTAAGTAGTCTATCTAGTATGAGTAATTAGAGAGGTTAAACTAGAGATACCTGTTCAACATGTGGGAAGACGGCCGACCACTTATTACTTTATCAGCTCGTTAGAAAGTTAGAACTTTAGAAGTGCTAGATTTTTTAGCTCATTTTTACATTTTCTCTTACGCTACGTCCGTGAGAGAAAATGTAAAAGTCAAAACGTTGAGAAATCAACTCTTTGGTTGACTTATTATAACTCTACGTTGAGTTTAATCGAAAATCGATTAAAGTAACTGCATATTAGGTTATTTATTTTCCACATTACGGACTTTTTAGTTATGCAGATATGCCTAAACGACTAGTGTGACGATGTTTTCAGGCAGAAGTAATCCGTATTTTAGCCAGGGTATAACCTGACTGTCTGGGCTTCCCACATTTGATGTCTCCGCATAATGAATCCGTATAATGAATCCGCATAATTAATTGCAAAGAAGATGAAAGTTGACACCCCTTTCAGTTGCTGCCGAATTATATTATAGTATTATCTATGAGTGTTGCTTCGTTAGTTTTGCAAGGTATTCTATAATCTATTCAGCACATTGCATTCTAGATTTAAATAACAAAGTGTTCTCTCTGCGTACTTGGAAAATATAGTTAATGATTCCGAATGCCATGTTTCCATGACAATTAGTTTATAACAATTAGTAAAGGATGAGTGGAGATTTTCCAGGCAATTACGAACTATTAGTTTGTTTTCTTGCTAGTATATATTTACATATATATGGGCATATGGATGGTCAATAACTTTGAAGCTGTGGATACGCCGAGAATAGCCGATAATGCTCGAATTTGAGCGTTTTTGAGTCTGCGATTTTGACGTTAGTTTGAGAAAATTGTTTTATGCTTCATTAAGTTATATCTCAGTTGTATGTTTAAAATAGCTCCAGTATTTATAGATGTACACTTGCAAACTGTTACTTTTTTATTCGACTAGAACAATTGTGCGGCCAATCAAACATTGGAACGTACGGAGTGCAACAGACCTTATTTAAAAAGGAGAACCCTATTTCAACAACGTCTATATGTGGCCAAAATGGGCTGGATTATCCATACTTACAGGCTGTATTTTAACATGGATTGTCATTATTTGTCATCATTGTTGTCGTCATTGCTGGGGGACGGAATCTTATTGTTTGGAGGTTATAGTTAGTTTAATTCTTCTGGAGTACTTTGAAGTCTATTGGCTTCAGTGATTGCGCACCTAGGGCTCAACTTCTTATTATCTCGAGCAATCCAAACATTTGGTTATTACCCGAAGCATCTTAGCTATCAATGTTCCAATTACCATGGTTACCATTGTTTGCCAGATAATATTCTCATAAGATTAAGGTAGTTATGTCACAAACGGTCTAATAAGATGCTAATGATCGTGAAAATAGACATGCAGTTTAGGCGTGTTCTTTCATTCAGAACTATCAACTAACTTCATCCATACCAAGTCGCAATTAGCAAGTGACAATTTATATCATATTTCTAATTCGACTCGGATCAGATCTCAAATTCGGACTCCATTATTCTGATGTTGAGAATTTTGATGTTGATAATGGAAACAACCATTTCCGTAGTAGTTCAATTTCAAAACCAAAGCACAGTTTGGCTACAGAGGTAATAAGATTTTGGCTGGATCAGTCAGGAGACTGAGATTCTAGGCACTAGAATAATGAGAACTGCATGGTAACCATAGGTTACCATGGTACCATGGTTACCATGGTACCATGGTTATCATGATTTGGTCGCGGCTCAGTCCAGATGATGGAATTAAGAGGCTGCAGGTCGGGTAATGTATGCTAAGTATTTCACAGGATGATGAATACCATTACTATACATGGGTATTCTCAGCAGAAATATTTATAGGCCATCACCTTTCGAGGGTGTCATTATTCAGCGGGCAGTTCGTTTTGTGGGAATTGGTGAGATTATGTTTTCCTCGATAGTTTTGATTTTCAAACGTTTGTTGTGCCAATCAAAGTCAGTTACTAGCTCGTAAGCTGGAAAAAATGTGGCGATTTTCTGTGGAATCGCTCAAAAATGTGTGCCAACCGGTATGTGGGTCAACTTCAGGGCTTTCCCTCTAACGTGGTGACAGACACGACGTGACAATTGGGTGGTCGTGGATTTAGTTCACTGCCAGTTCCCCGTATTCTCAGTAGTGTTGAGGTTTAAATTGTTACAACCAGTATGAAGCTCTTTGAAGAAAACTCTAATTTTACTAGCCGATGTTGTGGTGACAGGTTCCGAAAAAGGTGTGACCGGAACTTCCACTATTTTTAGGACATCGGAATCTATCGGCTTGGCTTCCAGGATAAGTTTTTTTTTCTTTTCACCTGGTACATTTTCACAAATCTCAGTTTGACACTCGTAGCTACTTCATTGTAGCACCATTTTTTGCTAAATTATTTGCCTGGTGTTATGCCACTTTGCTATCTGAAAGATCTCTTACAGAACAGTGTGAGAAAACACATTCTCCCATGCCTCTCCGCTTTACTACACGTAGGTTGCATTCTTGGTAGTCATTGTTACCAAGACAGCCTGATTAGCTGATTTTTGATGATATCTCTCTCGTCTTCATGGCACCTGGGATATGACATTTTCCTATAATATCTCGTATTATAAAGGAGAATTATATACCTACAGCGCGTACAATAACTGTAAAAGTGTGAGAGAATGCAGATTGCAGAACTCACTATATCCCACGGCTCGCTTACTCTGCACGTACAGGTTCTCTAACAGTACCTCACGCAAACTGCCTTCCCAGCATAGTCTGTATTATATCCTTATAGTTATATCATAGTAGGAAAATATTATCATAACATGAAAATATTATACGCTAAGTATTATATGCTTCTCCCTATTGCAACCAGATCTCCGAACGTCAAAATTCCTGTTAATTTAACACGCGTTGTTGTTTGAATTGAGCTGAGTATGTTGTGAGATATTACGGCTGGCGTACAGTCTGACACCAGCCCTAACATCCAGTGGTACGTCCTGTTTAGAGACACGTTTGGAGACACTCCCCAAGTGTCGTCGCCATTGTTACCGTGTGTCGCCGCCATGGTTACCGTGTGGGAGATCAAGAGGGTTATAGTTTTAACGATCGTACTATCGTAACGTTAAAATGTGGACTGGTTACAGCTGGATCCCACTTGGCTTTACCTTGCGCCTCCACAGCTGCAGCTATTACAACTTTACAAGCAGTACGTTCGACTAAGTCTCCGCAATTAACGTCTTATGGAACGGCTGGCGTGGCTAGTTCCCTGATGTCGTGCGAAACCATGGCAACGTGGCCCTCAGACAAACAATGCTGTCGATCTTGACGCTTTTCGTTGGTCAATCAAAAGGGCTGCTAGTATTTGACATATCTCCTTTTTGCTGCCTGGTGCCTACTGTATCGAGAACACTTTCATCTCCTCATTCCGAACACATCATAGCCAAAAGTTGCATCTTTCTTCCCCGCCGCGCTGCTGGAATCCAAACAAAATGTTTTGTCACTTTTGAGCTAATGAACTGGCGACAATTGAAAATATGATACATGTGCTCCTTCATAAACATGATATATCCGGGAACGTCTGACTTGCAACGCCTCGGAAGACAGCACAGCAAGATACACTGTTGATGACAACAACGACATATTAGTTCGCTTTTAGTCGCTGTAATTGTCGGGCCTATCACGCAGTGTGACATTCATCACTCTTCGAGTTCGGTCGAGAGAGGGAAAGGGAGAGGGAGAGATAGAGAGGGGGAGAGAGAGAGAGAGAGAGATAGAGAGGGGGAGAGAGAGAGTTGGATCCTACATGTTTCAATCTTTCACATTATAAAGTTATTATATACCCTCTGCTCTCTCTCTCTCTCTCTCTCTCTCTCTCCCTCTCTCTCTCTCTGATACTTAAGGACGTGTCACTTGTTTTAGGCACATTGTACTCCCCTGTGCAACTATTTCGTGTTTGGGCTGAGCTGTTGAAAGATGTGACGCTCTCCTGTAAACCGTCTCTGAACCTCATTATGTGAAGGAGCAATGAGAGGAACTAGTTGCCATGGTTACTAGTTGCTATAGTTACTAGTTGCTGGGTTATATAGTGTCCAGCATGGAAGGAGTCATAGCCACCGCCAAACTTTGAGATATTGTTATATATATAATACAGCAGGATTTGACTCTAATTTTCTCTCATAGTCCTGTATTTTTATTTGCTGTCGTAGTAGTGCTTCCCTGAAGTCACACAATTCACCAAATATTTCGAGTCTAGGTCGTCATTTTCGTTGTTAGGGTTACTGATTCGTTGATTCACTGCTGCACTGTGTGATCATTGTTTCGTTTGTAGCGTACTACGGCTCTATCATCTCCCACTGAATGTTGCATGGTAACCATGGTAACCTATCCCACCTGAACTAAACGCCCCTACCTGTGACGGGTCTCTGACGGCCCCGATGGATCACAAGAATGGTGTTTCGGAAACTATTGTTCTCATTCCCGACTCAAAGCGCCAGTTCGATTTCAGTTTTCAAGTGAGTTTACAATTTTTGATTTAAGTTCAGTTTTTTTATTTATATTAGATATGTTTTATGTTAGTTCAAAATCTTGGAAGTTAGTCTAAAATTTTGGATGTAGATTTAACATTTTTGATGCTGTTTTTTCGTGCTGCTTAGATTTAAAGTTATTCTTGTCTAATGAATATTGAAATGATCATCATAGACTGATATCTTTTTTGCAACGAATTCATATTTTTACATTTTTCAAATTTGTAAATCTTGCACCTCTTTCCACTCATCGTGAAACTGAGAGGTTGATGTTTACATTATTTCTTGACTTGACCCTTGAAAGTCTCGAGTGTATTCGTACGAAGCGAAGGCGATAATGGTAAAATCTGACACTCAAAATAATCAATAGCGCCCATCAAAATTGGGGAAATGACATAATTGCTTATTGCATTTTTATCCCGTAAGATCGCAATTCAATCAACAGGATCTGATAGTGCGAAGTAATTGGTCTATTATAACGCATCACTACTTGCAATAAAAGATAATGTAACTGGTTCCACCGGATTTGAGCAGATCTTTTATTGAAATTGTGTACTTTTCCGTGTTATTGGTGTGAGTAGTACGTGTACCTAGTGAGCTAGTGCACATACATTGTTTCGCTTGCTCTAACCTTTGCTCAATAACCGTTGATTTTTTCAACTTTCAATGAAAGTTCCATGCCCCTTTGTCGTGAAAATCAAAAAGTTTTCTCCGAGTCCTGTCGTCGTTCCTACTGCGAGAAACCCTCCTATCTTGAAGTAACCGACTCTGAGGACTCTGAGAACTCCGAAGGGAAGGATACCTCATGTACTCCCACCATCTACCAGTATCACACTGAAGGTCTCCTTGCTCCAGTAGCTGTAAGTCAAGGCGTGTGTAGTAAGCCATATAATGTAGTTGTGGTCCGGGTGAACCTGTAAATCCAACTCTTTGGGTTGCTCTTTTGGGTTTACTCAGGTTAACGTTTTTCATCGCTGTAACATGTGTCAGCCTTTGGAAAAGCTGTAAATCCAACTCTTTGGGCTGCAGGTAAACGTTTTTCATCGCTGTAACATGCGTCAGCCTTTGGAAAAATGTCGGCATTCCCTTGAGCTATTCCCGTGTCGAGATATATCAAAGGATTGTGCATAATATGTCAGATTGACATAGTATGTATTATGCTGACGGTTGTTTAAGTTGAAGGTTGTTAGAGTGCGAACTAACAGGAATATGTCAATTACTCAAGCGTTATGTGCTACCTATAGACTGTGTAAGAGATTATAAACCCATTTTATATTTCACTTGGGAAAACATCTAAAAAGTTAAGCTTTAAGCTATCAAAAATATGCAATTATATCAAGACTTATCATGTGCAGCTCTTTTAACGCTTCTCATATGACACACAAAGGAACCCAATCTAAAGAAGAATAGCCCATTAGCCTTTTAACTGTCACATTTTCCCGCTCCTCAGCTGTTAGGTTACATCTGGCCAAATCGATAACCTCAGTCCACTTTTAAAACATCAGAATCATCAGAATTCCTCCCGATCCCAATGTACCTGCAGCTAACACTTGGCAAACACAATCTATTACTAAGATTGTAAGATTCTAACCTTATAAGGAAATCAGCCAATATTTGATGGCTTGATACGAGGGGAAACCTTACAGTAGACAGCTCCTTAACCTCCACCCGCTTCTCCCGGACTTTATCTAGCTCGCTTCTGATCAGTCAATAACGGACATTAATTACAGGAAGCTTGTAGTGAGGACCCACGTGATGCCCATATAAGGAGGGGGAGTGAGCACCCCTCCTTAGGGGAGGACGGAGAACTAGCTCGTGTTGCTCTTAATGAACTGGATCCTATATCTCTAGTAGGATTTATAGCTGGACTGCTTCATTTTGTACCCTTTGCTTAACGTGGGAGCTAAAATGCGGATTTTGGGATTTGCGCTAACTTTTGAAATATTAACAGTTTCTTTTTGAGGTTAGTTGGTCAAAGGCTGGACCTCCTGTAGTAGCTGATCTGTATGACATTCTAATAATTTATTGTCATCGGCCAGCTGGAAATAAGGAATTTGTACACACTTACGCCGAAGCCATCACTCATTTGCATATTATTATAATGTCAAGTACCAAAATGACATACAAGTGCAATCATGTTTTCCTATACAGCTTCTAACATCTACATCTAAACTATATCATAATTATACATATTCAGTAATTAGATCTTGGTCAAGGTTTAAACATAAACTATCTTTTAGACTGGTTTGGAGAATTTAGCTCCCTTCGTCTTACCCACACACGCTTATAAAACACTAAAGAAACAGTTTAGTTTTCATTATATCACGGGTGCATCTGCATATAAGGCAACATTTTGGAGGGAAGAAGAGATTACGTTCATTTCATCGGACCCTGGAAAGCGCCAAAAATGTTTCATAAGTTTTGTAGAGTTGTAACGACTTGCAACTATGCATCTGTCGCACATTTTTCCCGTAAATAAAAAAGATGAAAGTTCTGCCAGCTAGGTAGCTAGTTAGCTGCTGTTATAATTCCATTCCAAGTGATGAAAAGACACTGCAAATGTGCTGAATAGCTAGCCGGTTAGATCTGGCTATGGTTACATGTTAAAATCACGGCAGACTGGTGACACTTAACAGTTACTGTTAGTGATGTTTACAGTTCACATTTTTTGATAGTTCCGTATATGCGACCAAGGGAAGTAACTGATCTTTCAGGGTCTTTTCTTTTGCCTGAAAAGAGCAGTTTCCCTTGGTTTCATACGGAATTATCAAACATTTTGAACTCTCAACATCTGTCTCATAAAAATGTTCCTATCCGGATATTACGTCAACAGTTGGTGATTATCATTGTCTAATTGATGTGGACGTCTCAAAAATTCAATTTTCAAGCTGTTAAAAATGTCCACTTTTTTTAGACAATGCTACCATATCTTTATTACTTTATTACATGTTTACTGACACATATTGTTCGATCAATTTTCTTTGATCACAAATTTAAAGGAAATTTACGAGTATCTTTATCAACCCTGGACAATTAATCCAGACCAAAAAACCTTTAGAATGCACATTTATGAGTATATAATCTGAAGGCTCAAAAATATAATTTTCTCTGTATTTATTTTTTATGTTATCAAATCGACATTTCTTATTTGTCACTGATCATTAGTTTATGGAATGCATTATAATAATACATACCATAAACCTAATGACCAGTGACAAATTAAAAATGTTTTTAGATAGGGGCAACATCTTACATCGGTAATTTCAAAGCAATGAACATAAACTATCATTACTATAACATAAACTATTCTGTACCTGACACAAACTCAACCAATCAAACCCACAAAAATGAGAAGGTTCAAAGGACTAGCATGTCAAACTTTAACCTTTATCTCTTATAATCACAATCGAGCCGTTAGAATAAACGAAGAGAGCGCCGAGACAGGGAGTTAGTTAAAAAGTCAATCAATCAGCTGCCTTCCGGCTCCTTCAATCAAATTAAGTGTATCTGCATATTTCATACGACCATACTATTTGTCAATCAATATACCGTGCCTTCATCGATCAATTAGGCACAATTACCCTTGCCTTGTTTACAGCATTGGTCATTGATAGATGAGCCTTGCGCTCTTGTTTGCAATCTCTGTTGAATAGTATTTTTATAACATTTCTTGTTGCTTGGTTCATTGTTTGAGAAGGAAAAGCCGTTACCGTGGTTACCGTTATGATGAGTGATTCTAAGACTAAGAGCAGAGAAAAGAATGCAGCCGATAATCTGGTAGATGCTGAAACTGCTGCGAAGGAAATCTCAATAAAGAGCCATGGGAACACGACGGGGAAAGGCTCTCGTTGGAGGAGAATTTATCAAAAACTCACCTGTTTTAGGGTAAGGACTGATAACATTCCATAACTCTTAATCCTAATTGAACCCAAAATAGGATTGAGTGGATTGGTTTATTGTCCCTCTAATTCACTAGCAAAAGAGAAGCGTCAATATCGTGGATCGCCGATAATGAACTCAATCGCATGCTTCTGGATAAGTTTTTTTTTTTCAAACGCAAGTGTGCAATGCCATGAATGCTCTGTAGATAACACAAATCTCATTCTTAATACTAATGCCAAGTTGGCTTTCATTGATATGTCTCTTTTGTCTATTAATTATAGAAACAAGAGGTTTGACCACTTAAGTGGCTTGTCCACTTAACCCGATGCTACATATTTTTAGCCAGTATGGGCTACACGTGGTTTATAGATTCTATTTATGAAAGTCTTCACTTTTGCGATTGGTTGCATTCCTTTATCGAATTTTGTTCATCTTTGATGACTTCAAGTGCACGAATGATCTGACGTTTTATTGACTGTAACCCGTTATTGGGTAGACACGTATAATATGCTTATTCGACAGATCGTTAAATATTCTCCTCTAAAGTCTAGTCAGTGTTCAGCAATATTTTCACAAGATCGAAGTGATCATTTCACTTACTGAATGCAGTCACTGCAACATACATGCAACAGTGATTAGATTTTTTATAAGTAAGCAAATTTGATCGCACCTATTTCAACATTTCTTTAAATTGTTCTCAACTGGGAAACGGCTAGTTGTGGTGACTGGTGAGGTTTAGTGAAAGTGATGTTAGTTTCTTACAGTTAGTTTGACGATGTTAAGTAGTTCTTAAGTTCTTATAATAGTCTATATTGTGTTCTATGCTCATTATGTTGTTGCATGTTAGTTGAAGTTCCTTCTTAAAGACTGCTGGAAATCACAGCAGCTCGACATGGACCCTCCCTCAAGCTCTAAAACAAGGTGTGGCAGCTGTATGGAATGGTTACTAACCCCCAGAAACACTAAAGTGTGTGACATGTGTGACAGTCCAGTACATGCAAAGTGTACCAGGGGGAAGCTGGGTTGTGTGCTGTGCTGCTCGGAGAACATTCCGGGGTATGGGACTGATTGTTCAGCTCTCTTGGATAGCTATGACTCGCGTGGTG